CCTTTGCCAAAGGCAGATACGACAGCCAGGCTTGTGATTGTGATTTCAGAACAGAATTGATATCAGCTATCATCCCCCTTGCACAGGACAATGGAAAAACAGAAAGTTGAAAAGCCTGCAGAAACTTGGGCCATTCAGGTATAGCGTTAAAACCTGCCAAAGGGATTTGCGGATGATTTATCAGTGCAACACTCCAGCCAAAGCTGGAAAACAGACTTTATTGCCCTGTTAATTTTGATACAAAAACCAGGAAAGGGTTTAAAATCTCATTGTCTACTAAAAAAAAAAAGGCCAGGGGGGGCGGAGGCGCGGAGAGGCTGAAATGGTGATAATAGATCTGTGTGGATTATACTACCTAGGTTGAAAACTGAAATATTCTGCAATATATCTAACAATGAAACATCACACGTATGGTTTGACTCAATCTAAAGCAAATCTCACAGTATTTTCGATTAGTTTTTCAGGTGTAAGAGACAGAATTACAATAGCTGTATGGTTTTCTAATATACTGTATTTTCCATTACTCTGAAAATCATATTATATTCATGGAATAATAAAACCCTAGCCCCTCAGAAAGGATCTTGGCCATTTTATAAAAAAAAGCAATTTTGTTTCATTCAAATGAACAGGAAACATGTTTCAGTTTTTACTTTGACTAGAGATGAAGAAAAGCCAGCAGGTGTTAAATATTGTAATATTTAAAAATGAGTGAAGCTGTATTCTGCGATGCACAAAGTGGAAGGAAAGTGCTGAAGGCCGTATAACTTCCATGGCAGACTCCTGCTGGTGTCCAGTTTTGGAGAAAGGCACTTTCTTTCTGCAGTAATACCATACACAACCCTGTTAAGAAGAGGACGTGCCTTGGCACAGTAAGCTTTACTGGGAAGAAAAAGGCGTTCAATTTATTGTTGCCCAGTGTTTTCCTTTTCAAAATTTCATTCTGTACTTGGGACAATACCACAACACAGACTTGGCAGCATGCAGCAGGTAAATTTGTGCGTACATGCCCGGAGGTGCAAATGAGGCATCCCCAAAGTTACTCACCCCCAGCAGGTCATAGCAGTCTTGCCTTTGGGACCATGCAAAACCATCGTTTAGACTGCACACACCACACAGAATTTAAGATACCATACCTATATCCTAGAACTTTCAAATCTCAGTTGATTTCTTTCACCAGTTCAGTGTGTTTGGTCAAATTCTCTGAAGGCAACTTTTGTTGCTCTCTGAGCATTGCAATGTGGAACAGCACCATATTTCAGCAACTTCCCCTGCAAATTCATATTTTCAAAAGATTCTTAGAATATGCCACATCAACATGTTTTTTGACAAAAGTTGTAGGCAAAACTGATTCTTGCTGGAAACAGAAGCAGTAGCTATGCTGTATGTCAGAGGCGCAAACAGCAGTTCTGTGTGATAAATGGTAGTTCAGGAAAGACAAATCTCAGTTATAAAAAAAATAATAACTGATTGTAACTTTAAACTGCAAGGTTAAAGCCAGCACCCTTAATTGCAGTAGCAATTGTGTCTCTGGCAGCTGCAGCAAATTAATGTATTCAGAACCATAAAACGCTAGGCAGCATTTCCATTGGTAATAGAGGATATTCACTTTTGACTACAAATGGAGCAATTGGACAAGGAAGTAACAGCCTGTCACATTTTGATTATTTTAAGGGGGAACATTTAAATTTTCTTTAAGAACAAGGCAAACACCAGCTGGAATAATGTGTGTTTACATGTATAGATTCATTACGTATTAAACCAAATAGGTTAACATTTTCCTCTCCGCCCACCCCAAAAGCAAATAAATTAATAGGCAATTGCTGTGGCCTAAATTGAGTGCTTTTGTACTTAGCTTGATTCCATGCATTTCACAGCAGCCTGAATCTCTATACGGTTACACCAGTTTTATGTCAGTGTAACTCCAGCTGCAGGAATGGGGATTTGAGGCTTGGCACTGTCACTCCCAAGGGAACTATCTGCAGCCCAGCATTTGACAGTGTGGCTGTGTTAAAGGGATGCCCGCAGCTTGAAATCAAGTAAAAAAGTAGTCAGGTATCAGAGGGGTAGCCGTGTTAGTCTGGATCTGTAAAAAGCGACAGAGTCCTGTGGCACCTTATAGACTAACAGATGTATTGAAACATAAGCTTTCGTGGGTGAATACCCACTTTGTCATGCATCTGACGAAGTGGGTATTCACCCACGAAAGCTTATGCTCCAATACGTCTGTTAGTCTATAAGGTGCCACAGGACTCTTTGTTGCTTTGTAAAAAAGTAGGTTGAGGTACTTCAGTGGCTCAAAGTTTCCCTGCCAATTTTGTGGCTTCAGAAACATTTTTTCCCCCCCTCACCTGTTGTCGCATGAAAGACCCACACAAACAAAGGAGGAACTGGACTGATTATACAGAGAAATTACTATATAAAGTACTGCCAATAGCCTAAAGTAAACTCGAAGAAAGCAAAAACATTTCTCTCTCTCTCTCTCTGAGTGATTGTGGGTGTTACCTGTCACAATACTAGCTACAATATTTTCAGTCAGAGCTGAGAATTTTAAGTTGATTGTGTCTTTGATTTTCTTTGTCCACTGCTCCATGCATCTTGCCCTTCCCAAACGAAGGCAATAACAACCTCAGTAATGGCCCAATGGCTGTTCTGGATGGCATCCCTTTTGCTGGGCCTGAATGCTGGGCCAGTTCAGTTGAGCTGGGGAGAATTTCTTCCAACATTTTATTTTTTTAATTTTATTTTTCAACAAGACTGACAAACAATGAAAAAAAGAAATTCACCATTTTCTTGTTTTCAACCATTTTTACTGTCCAGTGAATTGAGACTTTACTGGGAACCAATTGCAATGAAACACATTTATGCTGGGCTCTTAGATAGAAACAAATTCTTTGGACAGAGGCAAATCTGAGGGAGCCTTACACACTGATATCAAAACACAGAAATCAGAGTGACTAAGTAATAACTAAAATATTGTGTCATGGATCCCAAAGCACTTTATCAAGCACCAAAGAGACAACTAAGTCAGTATTTCCAGGAGAGCTGGAGAAAAGTGCATTTTTTATGAGTAGGCCCAGTCCTTCCAAAAAAGAGCTATGGGATCTTTAACATCCATAGAGCAGAGAGAGAACCTTCAAACATCTTTGTACTTGAAATGGTACGTTGGTGTATTTAGACAGTAGGCTCCTTGAGGGCAAGGACTGTCTTTATAGCACCAGGCACTATTGGTATTCAGAATAATTAATCAACAATATAAATGTCATAACGCATTCTTTGTTTACACCTGTAGGAAGGTGGGTTAGGTCCACCCCGCTGGGATTTATTGCATATGCATTGCAATAGCATCTGGGGGCATGAGCCTATGGTTCCAAGGAGAGTATTTCAAACATATGTTTAGATCACTAAGCCACCGATGCAGCCTAATGGTATCAGAATAATCTTTGTTTTTTGGCACAACAATGAAGAAATTTACTACAGGTGGCAAAAACAATCATGAAACTATGGTTTTATCTAATATAAGTGAGACAAGGTGGGTCAGGTAATATCTTTATTGGATCAACTTCTGTTGGTGAAAGAGACAAGCTTTCGAGCTACACAGATCTCTTTTCAGTGTCATAGCTACCCACAAGATGGAACAGATTGTTTATCATCAATAATTAATACATATTGTGAGAGATCATTCAAGGTGAAGTGGCCAGTTAACACCTTTGCAGTGATAGGACAAAAAAGGGGAGTTAGTGGGTTACAGATTGTTGTAATAAACCATAAATCCAGTGTCTTTATTAAGATCATGATTTTTAGTGTCTAGTAAATTTATGAATTCACGCTCCCAGGCTCATCTTTTGAAGGGTTTGTGCAGGTTTCCTTTGACAAGAATGACTGAGAGGTCAGATACAGAGTGATCGTTTTATGAAAAGTGTTCACCAACAAGTGGTAGGATGTTTTTGTCTTATTTTTCTGTGAGTTCATTTGAGAGCATAATGATTGTCTGGTTTCGCCCACATACTTGTCATTGGAGCATTTGATGCACTGGATAAGGTACACTACACGTTATGATAGGCATGTGTAGGACCCCTGGATATTGAAAGGTGTATTGGGGGGGGGTGGTATTGATCATTGCAGTAGTGGAGATATGTCTGTTGGTTCTGCATTTGTTATGGCAGGGTCTGATGACACTGAGTTGGTGGGTCCTGGCCTGTTCTACTTTGTATTTAGCTGTGAGTACCCTTCTCAGACCTGAAGAAGGGCTCTGTGCAGCTTGAAAGCTTTAGTGGAACAACATAAGTTGGTCCATTAAAATATATTACCTCACCACCTTGTCTCTCTAATATCCTGGGACAAACATGGCTACAACAACATTGCAAACAAACAACATATAATATAAATACCAGACTTCACCCAGTCCACAAGAGATGAGCTGTTATGCAAAGAAAATTAGAGGGACCTTCAAACAGCTGGATGGATAGTAGAGTAGGTATTAACTGAAGTATTCTCTTTTGGAAGATAGTTTGAAAGCCTGATACTGAACTGATGGCTATCGCTTGCTCTCTATTAATAGTAAAATCTGAATTAAAAAGTTTAATAATATCTCAAATAGTAAACAGCTGGCAAAATTTTAAACTAGAAGGCAGCAAAACAAGCACCATGAAGCACAATAAAATTGCACTAGGCAATTAGGTTAAAGTATTAACATAAATTATGCTCTGATATTTAAACTCAATATAACTGAGCAAGATAGGTCTTCAGTCAGTCCACCAAGGTTTATAATGGAAAACATCAAAAGATCTTTTCCTGACAGAGATGCACGTAAACAAATCATAGAGTTAATCAATACATCTCTTTCAACCCTAATCTTCTATGATTCAATTTTATTTAAAACTGGGGAGTAGTTACAAGACTTACTCCCCAAAGACTGCACCCTCTAGTGGCCTGTTTTACAACAGATAATAATACAATTATATTATTAAAAAGCTTTCACATTAAAATCATACACCATAATATAGCACAGAAACAAAATTCGGTTTTATTTATTCTGTAAAAAACGAACAGTTCTGAATATCAAACCCAATCTTACTCCATGATCTTCCAGGAATTAGGAAGGCTAGAAGCTTGGGGTTGCTGAACACTACCTCTTGCTGACTGATAAGTGGTATTAACTAAACTTTAAAGGAAACTCAGCTATCTTGCCTGATGATAACTGGCAAATGAGGTATACAGAGTGGAGGTGTATGGGGAAGACAATAGTTTTTAAAGCAATGAACAATGTATAAAGATATATACTTTTTTCCTTCTTCAGTATTTTATGTTTCTATTTCCCCCCAAACTTGAAACCATTTTTTAGGAGTGTACAATCCTACATCACCTCAAAATAGGGGGTCCTTTGCAGCATTACAATCCTGCTCAGCATCTCAAGTCTTTGGCCTGTGAAAAACATTGTCAAGATCAGCTTTGTGGTTTCATTAAGTCCTTATTTTCCACGCAGGCTTATTTGAAAATAAAACTATAGTTTTAATCTGGATTCTCTGGCTTGCAAAGTCCTGCTTACTAGTTCGACTCTTTCTTTTAGTAAGCTGGCTTCTTCAGCGCTTTTGTGTGCTTGTACGTTCTTCAGGAAAAAGTGGGAAAGGAAAAGCTTCAAACCTTCACGCAACATTCCTAATTTTGGGTTGTCAGTTAACCTGAAAAAGACCGACACAGAAATCAGAAATAATTCCGGTTTCCTACTTTCCAACTGAACAATGTTATAAATTCTCTTTTGCTATGATGTCAGGTTTTGAGAAAAATCAACCTGAAAATTTATCAAGAAAAGCTCAACTTTTTTTTGTTAAATTTAATATTAACAAGTGCAGAACTACACTGGTTTGGCAAACAGTTGAACATACTTCACATGCAATCTATTTCTCAAAAGGTAGTTTGTAATTTTAAAGTATTTTTTAAGAGACTTGACTTAAAATATTAGTTAGGGCATAGTCAAAAATGTTTGCCACACGTTGCTTACCTCCTGCATCTTTTAATGGATGGAATAAAATTTGAAAGACAGTACATGGCAATACAGACTTTCCACTTTATGTGTAGTTCTACAAATGTAAACATTATCTTTTACTACTTTAGTATTTTTGGCAGATCTAATTCCACAGAATATACACTATTATCTCTTCCATTATTAAATATTTATATGGCACCATTTCCATGGCTCTTTAGAAACAAACTAAAAAAGCAAGGTTCCTTCCTGGAATAGCTTACAAACTAAGGCCCTGACTGCAGTACAAATACACAACATGTCAGGAGACCAGATTACCTGTGACCCTTATTCAGCACTGTTCCAATATGTAGAGTGGATGAGATCTTAAAAGCATTCCGACTGTAACCAAACTAATGTCATAGTCACTTATACACAGCCGTCTATTGTGGGTATAGAATCAGGTCTAAATTTTAGCCACTTCAGTGCGATTAAGACATTTCATCTGATTACCTCTAAAAGGCGTTCAGTTAATAACCCTTACCCCTTTAATATGAAGTTAACTTCCCCCTGATTAATTCCATTATTTCCTTTCTGCAACAGGGAAATGTTGTAGCAAGAATAATTCTGCCATGTGACTGAATTCTAGTTCCATACATAGGGTAAAGATTTTTGGGGTGGCTGGTATGTCAGCTTTGTGCATTAACAGTTTTATTGTTCTTGCTTGATAGTGATAGTTGATGTATTGAGTATTTCAAAATTTGTATTAATGTTGTGTGTAAAATTCCATAATATATTTATACTGCAGTAGCACCTACAGACCACAATTAAACCAGGGCATCATTGTGCCAAGTGCTGTACAAACATATCAGAAGAGATGGACTTTTCGCAAAAAAGCTTGCATTGTAAGAAGTGAAGCGTCAAGGGCTTGGGGTAAGCAATGGATAATTAAAATAAATACAATAAGCAAATCCCCTTTGTGTGTCCAATCACTGCTCACCAAATGTTCTCTGGGAAGATCAATGATCACCTACCTTCCAAAAATGCTGGTAAGTTCTTCCAAGTCTGTTTTTATTAATAGTATATATAACACTTGCCGCAAGAAGTGGACTTTGGGTTTATCCAGTTCACTGAATTCAACTACCTAGTTAACAAGACAGCAAATGTTAGACTTAACACTGAAGACCTCTTAAAAATATTTTAAACTAATTAACATACTTAAGATGCTTTAATAGGTCTCATTTATTCAGTAACTTATTATTATGCTTGTTGCGATGCCATCCAGGACCAGAGATAAAAAATAAACCAATCATAAATTAAAAAAATATGCCTTGCATAATTTGAGAGTTTAGAGATGAAAAACTAAGAATAATCATGGTAGTTCAATCCAAAACACCTACTGACCTCACATAGATATTGAACAAGAGTGGCAACAGAACAGAATCTTGTGGAATCTGGCATGAGTGCGCATGCTGATTGCATGAGCAATCGTCCAATACTGCCTTCTAAAACCTTGCAGGAAGGAATGAAGCCACTGAAGAACAACCTGGTCACCTCTACCTGATATACTAAGGCAACCAGATACCCAGGAGATAAATACTTTGAAGGTACCTAAGACAGAGTGGACCCAAAGGTGAATCCAAAACACACTTAATGCACAACAATATTTTTAAACAATATATTTATTTACAGACATTACAATACTTATCACTGCAATATCTGAGTGCCCCCAAAGGCTGCTGGCAGATGCACTAAAAATCAGCATAGGCACCTGTGATGTTGCACTCCATGTGATTTTATGAAAATATGCTAATGAGCGTGAATATAATGTAACTGGAATAGGCTTGATGCAAAAGGTCTCTTGTAAGGTATCATTACAAAGCTTATAATCTACTGAGTGTGTTCATCCTATTTGTATGAATGTATCATTCTTGTATCTGAAACTAGAAATATGAAATATAACTCTGAGGTCCAATTGTTATTATGCAAAGTGTGGGCCATTAATGGCGGTTTAGAATCTTGATGGCTCCCATTAACCAGGACAATTGACTGTAGATGGCTCTGTTTACTTGCAAGCCTTCCTGTGAGTCAGGCCAGGCAGAATGAAGGCTTGGGGGCTCATAGGACATGTGACCATGTCACCTGGTACTGGAATCCATCTTAAGCCTGGTGCTTTTCCATTTAGAAGGAGAGGTGGGACCCAGAGAGACAAAAGATTCCTGCCTTGTGCCAAAAGTATATAAGGGGGTGGAATAGAACAAAGGGGGCTGCAGTCATGAGAAATCCTCTAGCTACCACCTGAGCTGGAGCTAACAAGAACTGTACCAGGGGAAAGGATTGGGCCCAGACTAGAAAGGAGTCTAGTCTGTGAAAGAAGCTTATTGGAACATCTCTGAGGGTGAGATTTTATCTGTAATCAGTTTCTTAAAGTATTAGGCTTAGACTAGTGTGTGTTTTTTTGCTTGGTAACTTACTTTGTTCTGTCTGTTATTACTTGCCCAGGTCCTGGCCACTGTCCGGGGGGCTCTGCATTTTTATTTAATTTTAAATGAAGCTTCTTAAACATTTTAAAAACCTTATTTATTTTACATACAACAATAGTTTAGTTATATATTATAGACTTCTACAAAGAGACCTTCTAAAAACGTTAAAATGTATTACTGGCATGCGAAACCTTAAATTAGAGTGAATAAATGAAGACTCGGCACAGCACTTCTGAAAGGTTGCCAACCCCTGGGCTATACCATACCCAGACTTCAGACTGAATGAATTAGGATCTTAGGGCTCATCTACACAAAAGTTGGACTTCTTTATCTATATTGATACAGTTAAAGTGGTACAACTCCCTTAGTGTGGATGCCGTTATACCAGTATAAAAGCTGCTTTTTTCAACAGAGCTTGTTCCCGTAAGGGAAGTGGAATAAGGGCTTGTCTACACTGGCACTTTACACCGCTGCAACTTTCTCGCTCAGGGGTGTGAAAAAGCACCCCTGAGTGCTGCAATGTGCCAGTATAGACAGTGCACCAGTGCTGATAGTTATTCCCCTCGTGGAGGTGGGGTTTTTTTAAGCACTGGGAGAGCTCTCTCCCAGCGCTATGCCGCGACTACTAACATTGCTAGTGAAGATGTGCACTATGTTATACCAGTTTAAGGCATCTTTATACCAGTAAAACTGCAACCATGCTAGGGGTTGTACTGGTATAGCTTTCAGAAAAATTATCACTCCCCTGCCCCCAGCTGACAGTCACACCACTACAAAAGCTGTGTGTAGGCCAGGCTGATGAAATCAGTGGAACCCAGGTTTCACCCACAGCCTTCCTCAAAACACGAAGGTTTGAGATAAGGAAGTAATAATCAAGGTCATTAGTATCAGGTGATGGTTTTTTGAGCAAGCTCTTAACCACTGTTTAAATGGCTTGGCATCTTGCCCTCCCAAAAGGAAAGCAATAACAATCCTTATCAGTAATGGCCCCAAACTTCACTGCTGGCTTTCAGCAGCTATAAAGAGCATGTGTGTGTCTGGTAGGGATTAACCAGCAACTCCACCAGGACATTCAATACATGAAAAAGGGTGAAATTCCACCAGTAAAGACAGGATGAGGTTGGGGGGAAATAGTGTATTTCCTTAAACTCAAATTCTCTTTTAAAAAAGGAACAATTAATAATTTACTGTTGTCTGCAATAGCCCAAATTCTGACAAAGAGTCCTGTGGGTATTCACCCACGAAAGCTTATGCTCCAGTACGTCTGTTAGTCTATAAGGTGCCACAGGACTCTTTGTCGCTTTTTACAGATCCAGACTAACACGGCTACCCCTCTGATACTTGAGCCCAAATTCGGTTTCTCTTCTGGATAGCCATCTTAAATACTTCTGTGACTTCCATTACCAGGGTATCTGAGCGCCTCAGTCTTTTTTAATTAACTTAACCTGACAACACCTCTGTGAGGCAGGGAAGTGATACTATCCACATTGTACAGATGGGAACTATAGGATAGAGAGATTAAGTGACTTATCCAGGGTTACACAGGAAATCTGTGGCAGGTCAGGGAATTTCACCTGGGTGTTGCAAGTCCCAGACTAGCACCCTAACCATTGGGCCACAGTTCTTTTAAAAATAAATAAATAAAAAGTAAATTAATCTAATCTGTTTGGCCATTAGAACCACTTGTATGAAACTAAATCAGATCCCTACATTTGGGGCAGTTTTAGAAAACAGGCAAGTAAAGTTCACCTTAGCTAGGAAGTTTGGAATAATTTGTTTCAAAACTAAATAACCAGCTGTAATACAGATTAGATAACAAGGAACACACACACACACACACACACACACACATTTACCATAAAACTAACACATGAGGTC